CTCTATGTTGCAGGGCTAGATAAGCTATAGCTACCCATGGTGAGCCAGTTCGGTGGTGGACGAAACTCGAGCCAGCTCTACTTCCCATGTTCAGTCAGATTGTGTTCGTTAATATGTCTCGGCACTTTTGAATGAGATGACCTAATATTTATAAGATGACTACCTATTTATTAATAGGATGATTCCTTTTCATGTCTTGGCGACTAGTTTCAGAATTTTTGTGGTTTCAACGTCGTATAGAAGCAATCGGTGTGACATAATCCTTTGATACGGAGACCTTATGGCACACTGTCATTTAAGCATTCACCTCATAGTTTATCACCCAACCAATTCATCTTATTTGTAAGTGGGAGTGGAGGTGGATGTTCAGAAATATGTTAAGATACCGTAATAATGAGCGGTGTGTGATACTCTGCTTTCGAGGATTCTTTGACGCGATCGCATTCGGTACAAATGTGTCCGGATGCCACAGAAAATTCGAATAGCTCTCATGTAGCGAGATCTCCGTCTGAAATCATAACAATTAGGAAACGGATGTAAAACCCAAGAACTTGTTAAAGGCAGTCAAAGCAGTCGATAAGTGGAGCCCCAGTAGTATGCGCCATGCATCCTCCAATTGTTCGGCTGCCAACGAGTGATTTTATTACTTGTGTCACACAAGAACAGCCTTGAGATTAGTTATGGGCGTTCTGGTACCCTCCCCCCTCCCAATATGTGCAGGTGGTGTCGTAGCAACCAGCCATGGTGGTGTCAGAGAGCTTGGAGTGTGCCCACCGGCGACCTTTTCTCTCATTTGTTTCTTTCTTCATAGATAGATCACTAACCAATCACTACTGGTAGAAAAGGCAATCGGAAGCGGGCCCATTCTGCTTCCTCTCCTGACCCATCATGACCGAATACGACGACATTAGCTATATGAAAGGCGTATTGATGTAAGGCTTATTACCGAGCTGAGCTCTACCTCAACTTTTTAGGATTCAACCCTGAACTGAATGTTAAACTACCTTATTTTTGAACTTCGCTTTGCTGTATCGGAGCCGAGGATCACGCCATGCTTCTCGATAGAACATCTCGATTGAGTAGTCCTGAAAAATGCAATGTCGTCCAGAACTAGCTGACCCAAAGAGTATGTAAATGAAGGTGAAGTGACACAATTCGCCCAGGGAGTGGAATAATTTTGTGTATTGGAGTGGACGTATGGGGCTTGATATGAACAATATGATAGGCCACGAAACGAGACCAGTTTCACTCTAATGGCAAATTGGCCACGTAGCAAGTAGCGGATGTATCACTGAAATAAGGGCATTTCCTACCACGAAGTAGCCCCAATTAGCTAGAAAGCCCGCGGTCGGCAAGCAGCTCATCGAGTAGGACTATGAAACAGTAGTATGGCCTCATGCGTACCGAATTTGATAAAAAGGAAAGGAAACCATTCAAAAGCGCCCTATAGGCGTCCTAGACTCATTAACCTGACAGCTCTATTTCCTTCCATTCCAATGCTCTATACCGTTCGTCACTGAGGCGGGCAACCCACTACTCAGTAAAAACAAATCAGGGAATCTCTGGAGCATGGCGAATAGATCAACCAAAAACTCGTCCGTCTATTGGTTTTTCATTAAGCGTCTGTCAATAGAGCCAGGCTTGATCTGCTTTCTATCTTGTGGCTTGTACCTGGAGGCCTGTCCTCGTGAAGAAACGTGACAAACACTCTCTACGGCAAGACAACGCTTTGAAAAGCTCACCATAGTGACTTCAGACACTGCTCGCACATTGCTGACCACACTATAAGTCTCGTGTCGCTCCAGACAATTGGACGTGTGAAGGGGCAGGTTCTGGCGCGGGCACCATTTACCCTTTGTTTTCTTTTTGTTCTTCGACAAGCCGCAGTACTGTATCATAGCGTTTTGTACTCAATAAAAATTTTTGGAAGAAAAGAAGAGCTTCTCATTTCTATACATGAAGAACAAATCTCAATACAATGAAGCTCAGGGAACCATCTATACTATCAGATTTATCGGTCATTTCTCCAGAGCTGTTATTGCTTATCCGCTCTAAACAGCAGCTGAGAACAGGCCTTGCGGCGCGCTGGCTCATATCTCACGCCATTGGACACACACATTATCATCAGGTTAAAACAAGATGTACTGATGAAAAAGAGTTCACAGGTTATCAGAAAAAGTAAGCAAAAAAAATCTCGGAACTAAAGAAAATCAGCGTCCGCAATGGGATCAGCTAACGCCCTTTCATTGTCGATTCCATTATGGTCTTCCTAGAGCAGAACCGTTGAATTTTGAAAAAAAATTAAAGTTTAATCTAATCCAATCTTTCTTTCAGTTTATATTTCTTCGAAAAATTACAATCGAGAGTGATTCTCAGCTTCTCTCTTCTTGCAACCTCGGCATCTTAGATGTAAGTCTTTCAGTTGTTGTGTGCCTAACGAGCTGATAGGTGGAACAATTTATTAATGGCCTAACGTTTCGACCCAATCGTCGTCTTCAGAGGCCAGTTGTTTCACCCTTTAAGCGGATAGGTCCGCAGCCACACCACAGAGCTGTTAGTAGAGAAATAGCTAGGAAAAGAGGCGGCCAGTTCCACCCTTTAGACGATAGGTCCGCAGCCACACCACAGAGCTGTTAGTAGAGAAAATCTAGAGAAAATCTACTAACAGCTCTGTTGTGTGGCTGCGGACCTATCCGCTTAAAGGGTGGATACAAGGCTGGCCTCTGAAGAACGAGCGACTGGGTCTCGAATACTGTTATGGCCACTTTAGAGTAAATTGCTGTCCACCATATTCAACCTCGTTTGCATCAGTCATTTTCCACGAGCTGTTATTGCTTATCCGCTCTAACAGTTGCTGGAGAAAGGCCTGGCGGCGTGCCAATTCCAGCCCCATTGACACACACCATTATCATCAGTAAAACAAGATCGTACTGATGAAAAAAGTTCAAGGATATCAGAAAAGTAAGCAAAATAGCAAGGTATACACAAAATCTGAACTAAAGAAAAATCAGGTCCGTCATGGGATCAGCTTAACGCCCTTTCCATCGTCATTCCAAATGGTCTCCTAGAGCAGAACGTGAATTAAAAAAATTAAAATTTAATTTAATCCAACCTTTCTCTTCAGTTATTCTTCTAAAATATACAATCGAGAGTATCTGAGAATCTGCTAGCCTTAAAGAAGAGGGCTGGTGGAGGACATTCCGCTCTTTCGCCAGTTCCTCTTGTCAGTTCATGGTCCTTTGCTTGCTAGCCGAATAACCTAACCCAATTAGTACCGTCCCAAAGGGACAGTTCTTATTCACCTAGAGCAGTGAAGGAAAGTTGACCATTTGGGTACATGTTAACTAACAGGGATGTCAACCTGTAAGCTTCTGTGAAGCTGTAAAATTGGTCAACTGAACAGAAATTCAAAAATGCTCACAAGGCCTTTACAGGCTTGGCGGGGGTACCAGTTGCTAGTCAGCCTTCACAGGGTTCGCTGAGTAGCAACTGGTACCCCCGCCAAGCCGAAGAGTGCCCAATTTTTGAACGCAAGGTCGTTTTGTTAGGCAGATATTCGCTTTGTAATTCACTGATAACTATGATTCTGGCTACTTTGTGTGCTGCTTTAGCTAGCTGTTCTTGGAAGAGCAGTCCAATCTGTTGGGCGATTTCCGGCGTTGTGCTCTTCTTTTCAAAATGGCAAAGAGAAGCGGTGCAATAACGAGAATCGCGCTTATTCAAGAGACTCCGCCCATTTGAATAACACGGAATGTGCATTTCTCTGTGATGAACATGGTTTATTATTCTGCATAAATCATACCGCCATGATCATCATCTGGACATTGCCGGTGATCGTATCTTATCTTCCGCAAAAACTGGAGGAAATCGCGTGTTTCTCTGAAAAGTTACATATTCAGAACCCACACGGAAATGGACCCTTCGATAGTAACTAATACAAAAGGGCAGCTTCCGCGAGAATCCTACCCTTGTTCATAGATCCGAGCTCGATCAAGCTCGTTCTTCGTGTACTCTTCTTCCTCTTCGTCAAGTTCCTCCAGCTCTTCTTCCTCTTCGTCAAGTTCCTCCAGCTCTTCCACATTATCATCCGAATCCATCGACTTGTTGATGCGATTTCTTCAACACAAGTGCTCCCCGGACAGCGCTGGCCTATGAGCATAATGTTTATAGGTTCCTCCTTGAAATCTGACAAAAGGAAGAGAGGAAGAAAGCGAGGACAAACAGCTGAATGCAATATGTTGCCCCAATAGTCAAGAGAAGACCGACTCACCTCTTCATATAAATTAACCAGAATAACTGCGATAAATATAGATTTCATTTGTAGCGAAGTGTTTTTGGGATCGGAACGATCCCAGTAAAAATTGTCTGAAACACGGGACAGAATTAGAAAATGGCTAATGAATCAATTATGAAGAAACTCCCGGTCACGCAAAAAAGGAGATGGAGATGACAAGATGATAGAAGCAAACGGCAAGCAATATACGCGATATAAACATACAAAGTTCACG